GGCTAAAGGGTGATATGCCAAAAGTGCACCTGTTGGTTTGACATCAGGTGTTGTGGGCAAGCTTTAACTGTATTTCCCCTCACTGTATTAACGGAACTCCGATGAACTTTGGGAAGACTAAGTTGCTTTACGGGTTCACCCTAGCATAGTTTTGGCTATAGTTAGATTGTTTAAATTTTTCTGTCAAGTACACTTTTTATGATGAGACAGGTGAATTATTTGTTGACAAATTGTAGTAGTGGTTAGTAATTTAAATAAATTAGCCAATATTAAAGAAATTTTCCTCTTGGTATGAGCTTTTGGCTCTCTCTCCACTTGCCCTCACCTTTCAGGTTACTGATTAATGTCATTAACGATGGACTTAAAACGGAAAGAATTTACATTAACCTGCCTGTGAGTGGCAGCCAACAGACATTGGCAGCCATGAGGGGAATAATTACTACATTTTAATAACCACAGAGGGCGTCTTTGGCTTACCCTAACTTGGATCCATTCCTTGCCCTCCCTTGTGCAAAAATGCAGCTCAGGTAGATTAACAATTTGTATATATAGGTTGTTACTCCTGTAAATGAAATGCAGTTCTCTGGTGTCTACTACATCTAGTAATTGTCTTTTTCATATAATTGATATGTTAGGCTGGATAAAAAGGAAATTTAAGAAAAAAAAAAGTCTACCAGGCACGCATTGGATGCGTGAAAGCACCTTGTTCTACCTGTTGCTACAGGCTTGCACCTGCCTAATAACAGTAAACACACTCCTAGACCCAGACTTGGGAAATTAAACTACAATTAATATACAATGAATGGTAATCATTCATGGTAACTACTAATATGGTTATTCAGTACATCACACTCCCGCAAAGGTGAGAATATTTAAAAATTGACAGGGTGTTAAAAGAAATATGTGGCGTTTTGACATCAATAGGTAGTCTAGCATAAGAATGGAATGCACATGTGGCCAATTACAGGACTTAAGGAGCTTATATTTTTTACTAAAGATTGAAGAGACGAGTGCTTGGTTTCTTATTCGACTTTGAAGTGTGCCCATTAAAATTTGAGACCTTAATGTTAGGTGTAAGTGGGGTCATTTAGAAGTAAACTGGTATTGTTTTTAAGAGGGTGTTGCTTTCTTTTTCTTTCCTTTACTTCAGTTAATTCCTAGTTATTCCATTACTATAATAAATGTAAAATTTGGTTAAATGTATAATTAAAATGTGAAATTGATTATTTTCTTTTCATATTTGAAATGGGTTAAATTTTTGAAAGCAGCTTTAAAAATTCTGACATCAGTTCAACAATTTAAACCTTGCTTTTCACACTTGAAAAAAAAAATGGAACCCCATGCAAAGTTTCATTTCAACATCAAATTCTTTGATATGTCCTTGTCATATACTAGTGACAATAGCCAGGTAAATTTAATTAGGCTGATCTGTTTGCACCATTGAGAATGTGATATCAAGATGTCAAGATGCTGTAAGATGCCTTGTGGCCCGTGCTTCAATCTCACACGAACACTCTATTCAATCTGAACAATTCTACCCAAAAATGTGTATTCAGTCTTGTCTAGGGAGGTGAATTGTGAAGCACTGGTGACACAAAGTTTGAATTCTTCGTATGAAAGGGAAATTGGGCGTCAGGTTTATTGCCCTCACCCCCTGACTTTTTAATAAGTAGATTAAGTGTTTGAACATATTTGTCAGATTTTTTTCTCTTTTATTGTGAAAACTCACTTAGTTCATTATAAGAGCTCTCATTTTCAGGATTGACAAAAATGTCCTAGCGAAGAAGCAGTCCCTCTTTTGTAGGGAGTTAATTAAGTGTCGCAGTTCCTTAAACAGACCCTGTGTTCTCCATTGAAGTACTTAATAAAGCCCCCACCCCTGGGTCTCCTTAAATAAACATGTCACCCCTCTCAGGGGGGACGTCTTGGTGCAGACATGAGACATCGTACTCTGTCACATGATCTGACAGTCTGAGGTAAAAAGTAAAAGCCAGGGTGGACTTGGGTTCTCCCAAAGTTAATTGATTTTGGAGTCTGTTTACTCTGGCAAAGAATGTGTCATTTGAGAGCAATACTTTAGGAGCAATTTCACTTTTTTCTTTTGGTCCATCATTATCATACCAACTTGAGATTTTTTTTCTTTGTAGAACTTATGAAAGACACAATTGATAGAACAGTGCTCCATTTTGTATGGAGTTTAAGTAAGATACCCTGGATTTCCTAAATACCAATATTTGAAATGTAGGGCTGTCCAGTTCTGGAATTTTCTTAAAAATGCAACTGCTACGAGCAAAGTTTTTGTACGGAACATGAAATACCAACATATGTCATGAAGTTAAATAGAACCAGTGCATACTTTCGCCTGTCGTGTCCAGCCCTGGTATTCTCTATGATACAAAGTATATTATTTACTCAACCCCTGTAAGTAAAGTCAACTTACATTACCCATAGAACAACAATGGGGAAATAATGCTTTTACTGCCCAATAACTTGATACTTTACAGGCCTAATAGAAACATGATGATGGTTTTTACAACAAAATCACTTGATCAGCCAGAGGATAGTGGGCTGGAATGTGGCCAGGTAAATTATAACTGGACAAGTGATCACTTCTTATTAAAACCTGTCTGCATAGTTCTGTTTATAAAGAAATGGTAATGGTGTAAACAGGATAAGGGATGGGAGAAAGTATTATGAAAAGGAGTACTCTTACATTTGTTATATATATATATATATATATATATAAATGAGGGGGCGTATGATATAATAAGACCCAGGAATGAAGGTATTGATAAATAGAAACAGGAAGGACGAGTGAAGAGCACACTTGATGTAGTTATTCCTAGCCATGTTTAAATTGAGGGAGTGTAAAGCACAATAAGTGAGAGTAAAATGTCAAAGATGGAGGTACGAGAAGAAAATATTTTGCACAACGCAGGATGTATTGTCCGTTTTTACGGTCTGTAGATTCCGTGACGTCATAAATGGGAGAGAAAGCGCTTAAGTATGTACAGACAAGTCCATAGATTGTGTAATGACCCGGAGTGTACTCGCCAGTGAATTGAAAAGAAATGTACGCAATGTGAAATGAACAAGAAAAATTTGTGATGTGAAATCTACGCGATGTGAAAGGACCACAAAAAGATCCTAGTTAGTGTGTCTGTAAATGACAACAGAAATTGATACATGCTTCCCATGATGTCCATTTTCTATCCGTTTATTATGTAACTAAACTACCTGACCGTTGTCCGAAAAGTCTGGATGATTAACATCAGCATTTTTATCAGCTGGCCACATTCTGTCACACAGTTCACTGTTTAGATATATAGCTCATTGTTTGGTGAGGGCTAATTGTTTGCTAACAACTGGTTGACATGTTATTATATCACCTTCTTAGTAACCTGACAGCTGCAGACTGACAGGCAAATACAGGTGTAGCAAACCCCATTAGGTACAACATGCTTCTTTATTTGTTTGTGCCCTGTCACTGAGTGAAAATATTGTCCCTTTTCGTAGATTCTGGACTTCATTTGTTTGTGTCCCGTTACTGTGTGAAAATATTGTCCCTTTTCTTAGATTCTGGACTTGTGCAGCAAGCGCAGAAGCAGTTTACAAGTAACTTCTTGTTCTGAATCTGAACATTTTTTTTCTGTGTAACTACAACATTGTACAGAAATATGTCTGGTTTTTAAGTTGCTTAGAGGTTCGAGGGAAGTGATTAAAACAGTCTATTTACCTGTCACATCAAGGGAGAGTAAAAAAGAAAGATGTATTTGGAATAAATAAATAAAAGTGGCAGATGTTGAGAGTTTCACGTCAGCTGACTGTTATATTGTGTGTTATTATGCAGTAGTTTTTCTCTAAGCTATAAACCGTATGACGGTGATTTCTTAGAACCTGTCGTAAGATAAACTAGTCTTTTGTGTAGGTAATGGACTTCCCTTAAAGGGCATGATTACGATGTCGTGCAAGGAAAGACGAGATGAGAGGAGATTTCATTCATTATCAAACAAGTCCATCGTTATTTTTGTTAAGATTCTTGTAAAAAAAAAACAGACATGGCATGCATCTTTTATGTACTGTAGATTTTTCTTTTTCTTCTTCTGTTTTTAAGACCAATTTTGACATTACCATGGCATGTATTTGCTCTTTTAGCAGATTAACTGCAAGAGAGGGCAAATCGACTTACTACACAAAGTATGGCATTTCCTAATCTTTAATTTTTCTCCCTGGGCAAGTTTTGAATATTTTTTCTCTTGGCAGTTCCAGATTTAAGGATATGTCAGTACGTTTAAACCCTTTGAGACCGTTTACCTTAGCAGTGCACTCAAAAAATGTCAAGAAGCTTTGGAAAAATATTGACATAGGCAGTAAACAGTTGCTCATATTTCTGTCAAAGTAGAATTTGAGATTGAATTATTACAGGAATGGGCTATAATATCTTAACTTCTTAGAAAGATCTCAGTCGATATGGAGAATATAGCAGGCAGCATAGAGTAAATCTTTGATCTATCCCTTAAGACTGGCTTAAAAAGAATTACGTTGAGTAACATGTATTGTTAAAGGTAGTTCTGCAAGAGTTGTCTGCATTGAATCATACTCTTCATATGCAGCAGATGGATGCCCCAGGCATACTAAATGAGGGCCCCACTTATTTGCTGTCACATTGCATTGTCTGACACTTGGCCAAAAAACTCCTGTAGAATATTAATGAAGTTTGGTCGCCTGATGGAGGCACTAAGTTTAGATTGTCTATTGCAGCATAATTTTTTAGGTATTTAGAATGAAACTATTTAAAAGAAAATAAATTATGCTTTTAAGCTGTATGAAAACAATCTGAGAGCTTTTTTTAACACAAGCCTAATTGATTGAAATTATATTTTGTAGGGGAAAAAATGTAAATAATTCAATTTGTTATTTCTTTATGTCATAAAAATGTATGCAATTTGATCACAGAGATTTTGCAGATATTTAATGGGAAATTATTGTTCCTTTTGCAGTATTTGAGAACAAGGAGAAGATAATTCTGGTCATGGAGTATGCAAATGGCGGAGAGCTCTACGACTACATCAACGAGCGCAAACAGCTGACTGAAGATGAGGCCAGAAAGTTTTTCCGACAGATTGTCTCGGCCATCAGTAACTGTCACAAGAGGGGTATTGTCCATAGGGATCTCAAGTTAGAAAATATTCTCCTGGACAGCAACTTCAATGTTAAGGTAGGGGGATTGATATATATACTGACTGTCTGTGGATACGTAGAAATAATTTGTAAATAGGAACTATTTTGCTAGCAAAGAGAAAAGAAATGCCTTGATTTATGTGATTTAACCCCAAAAGTGTGAAATCAAGATGCCAAGCAGGAAATATGTTTCTTAATATTATATATAATCTTGTTTGCTACGGTGGTCATATTATCACATAATGATGGTTGAATACTTAGATTCACAAGATTGGCACAAATTGATGTTTTTCTTTTTTGTTTTTAGATTGCTGATTTTGGACTCTCCAACCACTATAATAATACAGATTTACTGCGAACCTTCTGTGGAAGCCCTCTTTATGCATCTCCAGAGATTGTGAATGGTCTTCCATACAGCGGACCAGAGGTAAGCACAGATATTATCAAGAATGACAAAAATCTTATAACTTATTAATGACATTATTTTAAGTGACATTACTAGTAGTAAAAATAGAATATATATATATGTGTGCATCAAGCATTTAGAAAAAAATGAAAGAAATAAGTCTGACATACTCTACATAAAGGACAATGGGATTACATTTATTGACCAAGTTGCCATAGGTATCAAAGAAAGCATTAGATATTCATCAAAAATCAAACATTAAAATAAGACGTGTTTTACATCAGAGAGATATCAAATGTCATTCCAAGAAAGTACTGCGCCCCTGTAATATCATTATGCATTTTATCAGGAACAAAAACATTTTAAATGAGACTTATAAAGTTAGTTATAACATTTAGTTATACAATGGAAGCTTTCATCATGTGAAAAATGTTTTCTGTTCGCAACAGCGTGATGACGTCATAGGCTTTGGAGCCATCATAATTTAGTAACGTTACACCCATGTGCTGGTGGCTAAAAACCAGGTGCTTGGTTATTTCTTATTTGCTTGTAGGATTAATTACCCTTGTTAACCTGGCCAGAAATGAAAATAAAAAAGAAAAATTACAACAAGAATGATTCACCACAAAAGTAAACCACTTTTGGTGTTTTGAAACTGATATCTGTGTTGCTAGTTGTATTTTTTTTTTGCCCAAGGTTTAAAGAAATTTAAAGCTTGATATCCTGTTTTGAGTTGAAGATGAAAAGTTTACCTACCTTGAACCACTTATGGCCCATCAGCTTTTCTCTCTGAAATTTTTTTGTTTTCCTTAAACCACTGAGGGTCACGTTTCTCTTCTTCATATGTTACTTCAGCAAAGTTAATAAATGGAAAGATGTAAACTGTTCTTAGAATATGCCACTTTATTCTGTTTGTTGGGCTAGTTTCGATTTTTCAGGAAAAAGAAGTGGGGGGAAAAACATTGATGGTGTTAACTGTTTACAAGTGTTTTTATTTTAATATTTGTTTTACTTCCAGGTGGATTGTTGGAGCTTAGGAGTGTTGCTCTATACTCTGGTATATGGTGCTATGCCCTTTGATGGCAGTGACTTCAAGCGTCTGCGTAAACAGATCTCGGAGGGGGACTACTACGAACCTTCACAGCCCTCAGGTTGGTGCATTAACTACTTCTGTCAAAAATTTTTTTCCTTGATAAATTGTCATTTAATTTGGTGATATTTGAGTTAAACATCATTATAGGTGAACTGTAGGTGGGTTAAATTGGTTTTTTAAAAAAATGTTTGAAAAAAAAATTCATTTCATTAAAAAAAGACCATTCAGAAGCCAAATTACTTGTTAATGGATGGAAAAGCCATGCGATCTTTTAATGGATAAGTTGACTGATGTTTATTTGGAAAATGGAGACTTAATTTGGTGACTTAACAATAGCATAATAGCAGGGATAGTGTTCAGGTGTTGTGCAGGTATGATCATTTACTAGTGTATTATGTTAAATAATGCCTCATTCATCTTATGCTGCCTCATCCATTTAATGACACTCGTGTTTGTACTTCAGATGCGTCGGGTCTGATTGCACGTCTGCTCACAGTGGATCCTGTCAAACGTGCCAAGATGGCGGACATCTGCGAGCATTGGTGGGTCAACCTGAATCTTCCCTTCACTCCAGTAGACCACGAATTCCTGGAAGAGGAGGTCAAAGTTCCAAGAAAATACCGTGGTAGAACTCTCAGTTTGTCATCATCGGATAGTGATGGCGACTATAAATGCCCCCACTCTTCCCATCACAGGAAGGTTGTAGCTAGAAGAAGGCACGGACACAGTAAAGCTGCCAATAACAGATGGAGTTCAGAATTCGAGGATGAGGCTGTTTTTATGGCTGATGACTTGGACACAGTGTCCACCCTCGTGCCTTCACAAATACCATCTGTAAGTGCCAATGACGAGGAAATAGAGGAGGCTAGTTTAAACCAATCAGACTGCTTGAAAACTCTCAAGGCTTCCAATTCTGCATCAAACAGCGACTCAAATGAAGGTGAGATCTCCTCGTGTACGGAGACCACACCTAGCAGAACGGATGTGTTTGACTCTAGAAAGAAACCCAAGAGGGGGATTTTGAAAAACAAGGGTAAATACACTGGTCATGACAGTGGCTGTGTCCTGGATGACCACCGGGCAGCCGTCGAGGAGCATAGGTCAGCTGACAGGAAGGAGTCGGCAGAGAGCGCCTATGGCAGCACAACCAGTTACGAACTGGCAGACATTGAAAGTGTTCTCAATGCCTTAGATGACACTGACAGTCATGAAAGGCCTCACTGTCGTGACGAGGAGGATGTTACTCCCCGCACGGCAACTATCACCAGGCATCCTTCTGCTGGGAAGTACGACTACCAGCAAGCAGACTTTGACTCAAGCTCAGAACACATGGGCGTCGTGCGTAGGCGGCCCAAGAGCATTCTGAAAAAGCACAGTAAATATGGTTCTGAAAGTGACCAGCTCAAACGCTACAGTATAGGCAGCCAGAGTTCCAACTCCTCCGCTGATTTGTTAGACTTTTCATATGACAGCGGAGAAGGTGAGAACTACATGACACAATACTACACCCATGTCAATGAACTTACCTGTGGTCAGTATATCACAGGAGAGGAGGAATCTACACCTAAAAATGGCGGATTCCTCATGCCAGATGAAGAGACACTGAGAAAAATTGCACTGATGGACGCCATTAGTAGAGACACTATCAGACACGAGTGCGAGGCAGAGGAACCGTTTGGTCTGGCGGAGGTACAGAACCTCTACCAGCAGGCGTATGCAACATGCAATGCCCTACAGTGACTCAAACACTGGCTGAACAAGAGAGTATGACTCCTTAAGGCCACACTACGTGACAAAGCAGCCTTATAAACACTCGCGCTCACACCAGAGCATTCGCATTACATGTTCTTTGTTCTATGTCATACATGGACTTGACTCCTGTGTATAGTTTCATGTGATCTCAATTTGCTTAATATACAAAACTCGTTCATACATGTCACCTTAACTTGTGTGTTAAAGCATGACATTGTAGTCTTATGTCAAACCTAGCTGGTGGTGAAATACCTTGTAATACCCAGGGCAGTAAAAACATCTCTTGCTTAACAGTGCATGGAGACACTTTCAAGTGGATATCTATTAGCTGTGGTCTTATTAAGGGCCCTTACTCTGCATAATGTGTCTTAAGCCATAGTTTAAATGTTCGTAGGGACAAACCCTGTGTGTCTTAACTTATAATGCATTTGTCCTACTGTAACTAGATATAGTAACAGTTGGGTTTTATCTAAGTTGTGAAACACAGGGCCAGGCTTATAGGAGAACCAAAAAAATGGGTGTTTAAAAATACAAACTATCTTATACAGAAGATAATTTCATCTAAGAGAAGGCACAAGTTAAAACTACAGGTCTAGCATTTAACAACAACACAAGTTCAGCAACATGAGCTTGGTTACGTATTAAACAGTGCCTAAGAGGTTGGGACATAGCCATTACTGTGAGGCTCTAGTTAACTTCAAAGCTCCATTGTAAGCCTGTGGCTAGTTTTTCTGTAATGCAATTTTCCACTTGATCTCAGTGCTGTGTTTTAAGTCATAGAATCTGTAAAAAACGGAAGTGTAAAATTCAAGTCAGACTTGTTCTTAGTCAAACCGGATATGGCTGATAAAGTTAAAAAGGAAGGGTTCTTCTGTTGTTGTACTGTATATAGATTAAGGTGTTAACACAACAGAAATGGAGAGGGACTTGGAGAGTTTGTAAAGTGAAAGGGGGGGGGGGGGGATCTTCGCTCTCAGCTGTCATCTCTTCTTAGTTTGTAAATTGTTACAGAGCAAGTCTAGATGATGAGTCTAGTCTCCAGTATGTTAATGTTTGAAGAGGAAATTAAAGCTCTAGTCTGCCAAAGTAGTTTTCGAAGTACAAAAAGCAATCCATGGATGAGATTCGTAGATTGTAATATTGTTTTAAGGTAGAATTACAAACCCATGCAAGGTGCTAAGTACTACCCTTCTCATCAATCTGCACAATGAAATGCAGATTAAGCCCATGTGAAACTTACAATAAAAGGTATACAAATAACCATGGTAGTGACCTCTCTCTTGTCAGTGTTAAAAGGAAGATGTACCAGTTTCTTAGTTTTTCGTATCAAACACCTGCAGGTTGTTGACCACGTGGCTCCACCTGGTGTGTGTTTATTTCGTCTGGGGAACTTCTGGCTGACGAGAGAGGGGGAGGTAGTGTGGCTAGAGATCCCGATTTCCCACAGCAAGATATGTTGCATGATGGCTTGCCTTGTGACATCATGGAAAGTTAGAGGGGTTTTGTTACCAAGCTATTGGTTACGGACAGGATTTTAGAATTTTGGCAAGTTCAAGAGGTGGGGTACAAAATTTGGATATTCTGGTCATACACCTAGTAGTCCTGGTAAATAATGAAAAAATATCATCTTTAAGTTTTGCAAAATGAGGAAGTTAGTTTAAGGAAAAATATAAAAGATTAAATCTTTATGGTTTGGTATTCAGTGCTACCATTTTCAAATTGCATTGGATTTAGTTTGCCTTAAAGGCCTTTATAGTTATATTATATTAATTTTGCATCCCTTGGTGCAGATTTGTGACCAAAGACTCACAACTAGTGGCAGTTGAAACCCACATTAGTTACTCACACAAAATGTTGAAACAAAATTTAAATTGGTACAAAATTTGTGTCACCTATACATATTTTTCCTTACTGAACTTTAATGCCAAGTTGTGAGTTCTTTTTGTGAAGATCAGCAATTTTACTCTTCTGTGGAATATGTTGCTCCATTGGTTTGAAGTCAAGCCAAGAAGCTATTTTTTTAATGCTCAATCAGCATTTGAAATATTTGATTTTCTTTTGACTTGCAAACTCTTCGTCATTATGTTTGCTGAATTTAGGTTTTTAGTTGTAAAATTCTGATTGGTAAAGCTGTAAAACTTGGGCACAAGTTTTTTTTTTTTTTTTTTT